CCAGAGAGAGCTGACGGGGGCTGGGATCCTGCGTCTCCCGGGACTCAGCATGGTGGGAAAGCCCAGGGTACACATCCTCAGGCATAGAGTGGAGCGTACATGCTGGGTGTTGGAGAGCCTGAGGGGAGCAGAGACCCTACAGGATCGACAAGAGCACTCCCAGCAGCTGTTTTCTGACTTCAGAACCCAAGGGAAGGATCTATGGGGACCTGGGTATCCCCGTTTAGTGCTTCTGCTGTTTGTCGTTGCCTTGCTCCTTCAGTGTGTATGTAGGAGGGTATCTTGCATCGGGGGTGCTTATGGGTAACCGGTAGTCCAGGGGTTTGTGACCATTATAGCAGATACAGTGACTGTGGGGGGTAATGCATTTGTCAGTTTGATAGATTGAACTTCATTTCACTGTACTTGAAAACACAGCATTGTGTGAGAAACACAGAGGCTGTCATATATCCAGGTGGAAATCCATACATCTGAATAAAAATGTTGATGGCAGTTCTACAGCACCCACTTGTCCTCTAGCTGTCTAGAGTTTGGAACGAGAGCCCCAGGAAGTGTGATAGCCTGCTATGTCTCATTCGTGTCTTTTCCCTTGAAGGAGGTCACTTACAAGACCTAGCATTGAACTGTACTGCCCTGTCCTCATTTTTGTGTCTTTAAAACATGGTTGTAACTTGATGTCTTGCATTCTATCCAATATCTGTGTTCTTCCAATAAAATATATTATGGAGCAGATCCGTGTGGTGGATTGTTATTACTCCCAAGGATGCCCGTGTGGTGGAGGAAGCCGTGGCTCCGCCATGAGTGTCCCTGCATGACCAGTTCAGAGCGCTGAGCCCTCCCTGTCATCTGGTGCACTGAGGACTGGGGCTCGGGGGCAGGGGCAGAGACCAGCTGGAAGTTCTCCCCTTCATTTAGTCAAGTGCTCTCCCACAGGAAGCAGGTAATCTACTACTTCCCAGAGGGAAGCAATGCTTCTGGTTCCCTCATGAAGGCCATAATGTGTACTTGGGGATTGTGGGAGTGGTGGGGATATTCTCTTACTGCCAAGTTGAGGCAGAGGTCAGGTGACCTGTCTGTCTGCCCCACTCAGAAGTCACCAGGACCTCTACTGGAAGCAGGAAGCACAAGATCGCCCTGGTGAAGCGGGTCTCAGAAACTCAGTCCCCTGTGTCTGAGGCTCCTCTCATAGGCCCTCAACCCTTGTTCTTATTAAGCGCTCTGCATAGCAGCATTAAATTAGGGAGGTGGTCGATTTTTTTCTGACATCATTTGTTCTTTAAACTTATCAGCAGTTTCTGCTGCTTGCAAAAATTTCCCATGAACGTACAGGACCTGTCCTTTGTGTATGTGACCTTAAATATCAAACATATCATGAAGTTCTCATCTAATGTCCTTACCAATGTGGTCATTTAAACACTACACTGTGCAGAATGCAGAGCAAGCCTGCTGAATCTGTCCTGGGTGTTCCTGAGCCCTGCTGGGGCCTGGGCGTGGGCCTCCCCTGGCACTTCACAGGGATCTGGGCTGCAGGTGACAGCAATCCTTTGGTTCCATTGACTAGAGGGGCAAGCCTTGGGCCTCAGTTCCAGCCTGAGGTTTTCCCTAGAACGCACAGTTCAAGTCCCTTCTCCTTTGGTGCAGTTTCCGCTGGACCTGTACATCCATGCTGCTCATTTCCCTCCCTGCCTTAAAAACTGCGTCTCAGTGTAGCCCGTTCTCTGCCCGCAACCAGCTTCCCTTGCCCACACCCCACACCAGCCTAGTGCCCGCCACACGTGTGCCCTCTCTCCATAGGGTCTAGGAAATGCTGGTGGGGTGGGTAGGTTGGAAGGGACTGAGGTGTTCGGGAGCAGATGGCCAGGGCTGGTTGTTGCCATCAGCTAGCCTCCTGTCCAGCACTGTCAGCGGACGGGAACCCCATGGGTCTTCTCAGGCTGTAGGGCCGCCAGTCATGCCTCTTTGTGAAAGTTTAAATGACACTCGTAATGCCCGGGGCTTTGGGCCCTTAGGTAATTAATGGGGCACATTGACTCAGTGGAGTCCATTTGTCTCTATAGGAGAGAATACATGAGGTCAGGTGACCATGATGTCAGACATCTAGGGCCACCCCGAGACAGAAGTTGCTACTGCTGGAAGATTGTGGCAGCACCGTACACTGTTCAAGGAGTATATGGGTCTGGGTGGCACTGTCACCTTCACTCCCTCAGGGTGACTTTAAGTGGCAATGAGAAGTACCCATCTTGGATGGGGAGGGGCAGGGCCTGGGGGAAGATCCATCCGAAGAAGACAGGAGCCATGAAACCCCTCCAGAAAGAAGTAGGGCCACAGGCAAGAACCTGGAGAAAACTTGGTGAGATACTGGGGGGCTTCCTTGGAACTGGGGATCAGTGATGGAAACAAGCGAATGCACGATAAGGCTAGTGACGTGCCAGACTCAGCAGCTCCCGGGGAAATGGCCACCGTAGCCCATGCACCTCCTCTGATGGCCCAGCGAAAGCTCTAGCCTGTCATCGTCCCTCGTGCTCCCAGAAACCCGGGCAAGAAGGACCTGTGTTCGTCTCAGAGACGTCATGCACAGCTCAGGGACATTCCATTAGACAGTTGCAGAGGGCAGATTAGAACCCAGGACTGTGTGATTCTGTAGCCTGTGTGTGGGTCACGCCACAGCCCCCTAGTTTGGAAGGCAGTGTACTGGGGTGTGGGGGCCATGGATCACGTAGTCATTCACGGGATTTGAAAATAGATGTCTTTCAGGAAAAGGAGCTTTGCTTTTGTCACGTAAGCTTCAGCGACCTTTGCCTCGGTTGTTTTTTCATCATTTCGTCCTTTACAAATACATACAAAATACATACAAATGTATTTTCCTAACTCTGTTGTACGTGCCTTTTACTTTTGCTCCTTTCCCAATTTGTAGGGCAGTGCCGGATGACATTTCCTCTTTTGTAACTGCCAGAGCAGATAATGAAAGTGCGGTCCTTGTTACTGCAAAGGACTGGGCAACTGCTAATGCATTGAGGAGAGAGTAACAAGGGAGCCACAATGGCACTCGTGCAGACAACAGCAGAAATTTCCCCTTTCACTTGCCAGGGCACAGAGCACAGGGCGAGGCGGCTGTTTCTCTAGTCGGCCTGGGCAGGGGTGCGGGAACGCCAGCCAGACAGCCTTTTCTGCCTCAGAAGTCTTTCCGTTTTCTTTTTCTTTTCTTTCTTTTTCAACTTAGCTATAGGACGCATGTGCTCCCCGGGGAGAGCATGTGCTCCCACATCACAGTCACTGGTGCAGTCAGCCCTGTGTGTTCCAGCCACCTTAGTAATCAGGCTGTATCTAGCCTCCTCAGAGAACTTTTCTCCCCATATTGTTGTGTGCAACCCCAGACTCCCTGATTCTGCACCAGACATGTGCATTCAGAATAGTCACAAAAGTCCATGTTAGAACTGGCTGGGGGATCTAGAGCAGTGTGAGGGCGTGGTTCATGTGGGTGCTGTGTCAGAGGGTGGAGGGGACCATGCTAGTCCCTTGGCTCCTCATTTGGGCCCTATTTTAGGTCAGTGGGTATGATTTTGGCAGAGGCATTTACTGTTGGTGTTTTTTTTTTTAATTTGATTCCTATTTTTCATACATTCAATCACTATACATCATTTGGCTTGTAAAGAGAATTTACCCAACCTGAAATTCACCTCAGACTAGTCTGTCCATATGAGAATACTATACACTTTGGCAAAGCTAGTGGAACCACTTTAGGCTGAGCTTTGGGGACCAGCTCTGCTGGGGTGACCGGGGAAACTCGCAGTATGCCTTGTCTGCTGTGCCCACAGGAGGTTATAGCTACTCAGGTAGTCCCAGAATATCAGTCTGCCACTGCATGCTGAGCAAGTGGGTACCTCCATGCTCTGTCCCTGTCCTCATGTGACTTATTCCAAATCAAAGATTGACACAACCTCAGTTCTGTGTCAACAGCTTAGTGGCAAGAAATGCCAAGAAAGTCAAGAGTTTCCCTTGTGTTGGGAGAGGGAGTGGCATATGGTCTTATGCATTTTTTTCAGAGGTTTTTGGTATAGGGCATGTGCACTTGCCAGCAAGACAGAGATAGACAGAAAGGGAGAAATCACACACACACACACACACACACACCCCGCAAAGGGGATGGTCATGCCTCAATTCCTTCTCCTCAATTCTCTCGGAATCTTGGGCATGCCATGCACCTGGCATGAGTTTAAGCTGCTGGGTCCGGGATTCGAACCACAGTTGAATACATGGGAGTCCAGCAACATAGCCTAGCCGCCAACTGCTGGCCCCTGGTCTTGTGTATTTTAACAAGCAGACTTGAATGCAGTTCCCTCATCCCAGAAAACTCTCTTTCATTGCCAGACCCTCCCCAACCACTGCACTCTGGCAACCACTGAGTTTCTCTCCATCGCTCTACCTTTGTCTTTCACGAAGTTATAAGAATGGAATCATACAGAATTCAACTTTTCAGATTGCTCATTCACTCAGCATAATGCCTTTGAGGTTCATTCAACTCTGAATACATCCATAGTTCTTGCTTGTGCATTGCGGAGTCCTGTTCCATTGTACAGTGACATTCTTGTGTGTTTTTCTCTTTATCCTGGTTGAACAATATGTGGGTTGTTTCTCGGTTGGGACAATTATGAACTGAACTGCTGTATGTTTTCATGCACAGGTTTTTGTGTGAACAGTAAGTTTTCAGTTCATTTGAGTGATTACATCGGTGTGGGATTATTTGGGGCTGATGAGTGTTTCATGCTACAAGAAACAGCTGAACTATTTTCCATGGTAGTAGCCTCATTTTTCATTCCTACTAGCAATATTTGAGAGTTCTGCTTGTTCCTAAGAGTTGCCAGTATTTGGATTGCTTTTAAATATTTGCCACTGTAATCAGGGTTCTAGGCTCCTCCCCCGCTACCAGACTTTCTGGTGACAACCCCGCCCCCAGGGGCTTTAGCTCCACCCTTAAGCCCTCTCCCTTCCCCATGTAAGCTCTTAACAAGCCTGCCCAGTAGAGGGGACCCAACCTTGTGCGAGGAATCTACGAAGGTGCTGGAGACCCCTTCCTTGTCCAGCCTTCTCAAGGCCTTGATCCTCCTCCGCCTTTACGCACTTCCGGTGACGTTCATCGCTGAGATTTGCTGAGTGCGGTGCAGCCAAGCGAAAAGCCCTGAAGCTAGAGCAGCGCGATGGATGGTCCTGTGCAGCTGATTAAGGCCCTCCTAGCCTTGCCTATCCGACCGGCGACGTGCCGGTGGAGGAACCCGATTCCCTTTCCCGAGACGTTTGATGGCGACACCGACCGGCTGCCGGAGTTCATCGTGCAGACGGGCTCCTACATGTTCGTGGACGAGAACACGTTCTCCAGCGACGCCCTCAAGGTGATGTTCCTCATCCCCCGCCTCACCGGGCCGGCCCTGCAGTGGGTGATCCCCTACATCCAGAATAACAGCCCCCTGCTCAGTAATTACCGGGGCGTCCTGGCCGAGATGAAGCGCGGCTTTGGCTGGGCGGC